ATGTCTGAGAATTTAATTAGTATTTAATTGGTGGATAGTGACTAGCAGTGGAATCCAGGATGCGCATGTCAACCTCAGACTGAGCACTTTGGTCCAATCAATCAACGGGAAAGTCTAAAATTAAATTAATATGATACGTTGCACAAGAGGTGGCTGTCGTGGCCCAAGTGGCCTAGGGGATAACGCCTTGGCGTTTGAAACTATGGGCGCTAGGTCCGAGCCTCGGTAGGGATATCATCACTCACTGAGAAATGCAGGTACATCCAGCTGACGAGTCCCAAATAGGACGAAATGCGCATCCTGGATTCCACTGCTAGTCACCATCCACCAATTAAATATTAACTCTAAGTTATTCACATGGAAATCTTTCCCATAACTTAAGTAACATGAATATATATAATTTACTGTAAGCCATTGCAGCACAGCCGTTGATATAATATTTTATTACAGAATTATCATAATCTGTTCTTCTTGGCATGTTGCATCCACGTTTTCTTGTTTGTAAGTTTTGATTCTGATCTATTAATGCAAGAAGCTCCACTTATGCGTTCTGGTCCTTTATATCAGGAGCTTTCAAATAACAAAACTGATTGATATTATTTGCAATCTGAACTGATAGAAATCAAATTTCCACTATTTTCTGCATTGCTCTCTGTTCCGTGCTTGTTCATATTAAATTTATGAGCAGGTTTTCTCATCAAAAGATGTAAGATAAAATAACAATTTCAACGTAATGTCCATTTACATTAGTGAAATGACCCTAGAAACACTCATATAGTTTCAGATAGGTTTCTTAGCATACTTGAAGTAACTTACCGTCTGTTTATTGTTTGGATGCATTATTTAACCTTCTGGATACTTTATTTTGAAGATGATAAGCCTAAATAAGAATATAGTTACTATGGTAATATCGAAAACTTGTACAAACAGTCATTTGGTATACATGTAGGAGTTTTACTGTCACGAAGACTAATTATTGTCATTAGTCTGTGCTATTGAAATATATTAAAAGTTAAAAAACTGAAAATCTCAAGCTCAAGTTATATTTCACACTTTTTGAGATTAAACACTTCAAGCAGCTTACACAACAGCTATAACACTGGCTAAAACATTATTATTATTGTTATTATTGTATCCTTTAGTTTCAAGAGGAACATAGGGCTTCAGCTGCGCATCTCCATCGCCTTCTGTTTTCTGCCAACTTTTTCACCCCGCTCCAGGTCTGTCCACATGCTTTCATCTCCTCTTCACATGACCGCCTCCAAGTCACCCTCGCCCTGACGACCAACTCGCCGCTTCTCTTCCGGGTTCCACTCGAGCGATGGCTTGTCTAGTGATGTCACTTGATGGTTTCCTCAGCGTAAGGCCAATCCATCTCCATTTCTTCCTGCATATTTGTTTCACAATCGGTTCCTGGTTGGTTCGCTCATTGCCAGAGATCCCTGTTGCTGATCTTTTCTGGCCAGCCATCTGATCTTAAGTATTGAGAGAAGACAACTGTTAATGAACTGAACATTAACTGGATATTTTCGGTAATAAATATTCTTCAACTATCCTTCCCATTCGCATTTATTTGTGGGTGCTGAAATAGCTTTATCTACATAAATCATCAGTGATACATTTTAAAATTATGGGAACGTATTGTTCGAGTTAACAGTTGTCTAACTGTTTTATATTTATTTCGATGGAGTACGCATTACTTTAAACTACTAGTCCTAAATGCAAAATGTTTCTCAACATTTGCGATTAAAGTAAGAAACTGGTTTCAGTATACAATAAAAATGCTTGATTAGCCACAACTGGAATTTTTATCAGCCTTGGTTGGAGCATACAGAGCTATGTCACCACTTTAATGGTGGATAGAAATTTATGAGCCGCATTTACTGTGCTTTTGGAATATTCTTTTATATTGTTAAAGGCCATAATTGTAACAAGTTTGTAAAGTACTTATTAATAATTTTACAACAGCCTCACCATAAATAACATATTCAGTAGAATCACCACACTCTGGTCTACTACTGATGACAGATTTCCATTGAAAATTTTGAAAGACTAATTAGTGAACAATGAATTTTCTTTCCGACAACTTTACCACTTTCTACAGTGCTTGGGAGCACTTACTGGTGTGATTAAATCAAGATGCAGTAAAAACCATCAACATTACGATATAACACCATTTGATGCAAATAGGCCATAAAGCTGATATAGAAGAATCTTTTTTCTTCATCTACCGTATACCAAGTAAGTTATCAAAGGCCTCTATATACGGGGACTGTCTGTCTGTCTGTCCTTTTTCGACATAGAACTTTGCACAAATGTGCGCCAGTTCAAGTCGCCACACTCCGTGTAGCACGCGAAGCAAGAGAAGAAAGTACAAGAAAAGCATAATAGAAACAGTGAGCAGAGGTGTGAGACAAAGGAGTAATAAAGAAAAACAAAACAGTTTCACTGGAGATCATAAGTCACAAGGAGTGGATGCATCTGCGCCACTGAGAACGATTTTGAGCCATGCCACCAATTGTTTCCAACCAGAGATTTTTACCGTCCCGAGGACCCCAGCCTGGAAGTCTACACCTTCCTACGTGGCTTAGACCAACTGTTGTGGATTTCATTGACTGGTGCCAAGTTTTTGTTTGACCGCCGCTAGCTTTTTTCCAGCCTGACCCTATATCCGCAAACATTGCTCGTCGAGGGAGGCGATGACTTGGCATACGCAACACATGTCCTAACCATCTCAGTCTTTGTAACTTCACGACTTCGTCGATTGATTTCCCCTGTTTACCTAGAACTCTACGCCTAACCTCAATGTTGCTCACCTTATTATGCCACTTTACACGGGAAATAGATCGCAGGCACCTATGATCAAAGACAGCTAGTCTTTTCATGTCTTCCACTCTCAGTGGCCAGGTCTCACAACCATAAAGGAGGATGGAGCGGACTGATGAGCAGTACACCCGCCCTTTGGTCGATAGTCGAACATCTCGTCTACGCCAGAGTCGGCGTAAACTAACAAATGCGAAACGAGCCCTTTGTATTCGTGCTGAGTTTTCGTCAGAGATCAGCCCGTTGGCACTGGCTGATGGTACTTCCCAAATAAGTGAAGCGGTCAACGTGCTCTACCACTTCACTTCCTATTTTTAAACTAGGCGTCGATGTAGTCCAGTCCTGTAACATCATCTTGCATTTGGCGGGAGCGAATCGCATGCCCTATATACGGGGTACTGCAAACAGCTGAGATAATCATTTGAAACAAATGGAACTCTGAATGACAAAGATATTACTCATTCGACATCGTTTTAAAAACATTAAGGTTGTTGACATAGCAACAAATCTTTAATAATTGTGGACCTGTTAACTTCAAGACCACATGAAGTTGTCGAAAAGAATATTCTTTTTTTACATTAAACAGTCTTTTGATCTATGGGCATACTGGTGCCGAACAAAAACTACTCCTGGTGTAACAAGAATATGCCAAGAATTTACTGTAGTGAATTACTTCCTTTTATCTACAAGTTTTCATATTTTTGCGGTTTCTAAAATAAAATTCCTCTGCAGAAACTGCAGTTTCACAGAAATTTCAATCAACTTCATATTAGCTATCGAACACTGAAATCTCCTTAATGTGTTTTCTTTCATAAGTCATTTATGAAGAAATATAAGGACAGATTAGTTTGTCAGTGACATGAAATTTGTTTACTAAACCCCTTGTTTTAAACATGTAGTCAATCTAATTATATTACACAACTTAATTTCTAGTGAAACGCAACTGGCATACTAAGAAAAGTTAGTTATAATGTTAACTGCACTAAGCTTTTAATGACTTCTGCACTAAACAAACTATCCTAATCTTTATACATCTGGTGAATCAGTTGCAGCATGAAAACGTCTGTCACAATTAGACTCCGTTATCACTTTGTCGATCGTGAATCTTCCCTTTGTCAGCAGATTTTCCTTTTAACTTCAAATATACTGGTAATTTGAACTTCAGTCTGCTGCTGACAAATCGTTCTACCTAACTACTTCATCTTGGAGCTATCAATTGTTGACAATTTCATTTGGTTGAGTCATTTAATTGAATGATGCATTTTTTTACAGTTATTTCACGATTACTTCATAATGTTGAATTTTTCCGCATAACGTAGATATCGATTACCCAATAGATTTGGGTTGAATTGCTTCGGTATGTATAAACACGCTGAAAATTCCATTCTGTATAATAATTGTTATTTTGAATAAAGTGATGATATTATAAAGACAAAATTATTTGGAAATAAACAGAGTCAATTTGGAGATTTTATTACTCCCTCACGATTACATGATTTTGCTTATGAAACCACCAGTAAGGTCAACTACTCAGGTCAGATTAGGCAGCTACGGTAAATTATGTTGCCTTAGCACATAAATCCAGGAAAGAACAGTATGCACCAAAGATGAAAGGAGTGAAATACGAAATTCCGGCCACAATTGTGCGTATTTAACGCAAAACCTTACGACTGATTGCCTTGAATTAAAAGAGTGGTTCACAATTCGACCTGCTACTAGTAAATTGATTCTAAACACTGAAAATAGGGAGATCTCAGCACTTGTTTCACACGCTTATATTTTTAAAACTCTTCTAGCTTTACAATAGAATGATAAACGAGGCCAGAATTAGGAAAACCAAGTCTCAAAATTGTAGATAAAACGTCACAAGACTGTACAGTAAATTATTTGCAAAATGTTATGCATTAAATAATTATATTCTACTACTTTGTTCAAATTCTATTATTATTTTATATTTGTGCCTATCAGCAAACAACCGCTTTTCGTTGTACCTGAAACACAAATGTAAAAAGTCATTTTGTCCATTGTAATAGCGTTTTTGCTGAATGACTAAGCTGCACTGTTTAATCTTATAATAAAATTACCTGTTCTGTTTTGCTAAAGCTTCCTGACTCTAGCAGTAGGATATAAATTTCCAGGTTTCTGAATTCAGTTTTTCCTTAATTATTATTTTTCAGGAGAGAGAACAGAATACAACAATTTCAAAAGTTCAGGCCACACAAGCTGTCGCTGGAGGTGCTGATGGTGATAACAACGCTGGAAAAACAGCAGAACCAGGACAATAACTGATGCTGTCGTTTCAATTTCTCAGCTGAACCAATATGCAATATGTAGTGCATGATTTAGAAAATTGAAAAAAAAATGACGATAATTTTTATGTGTCATTATTTCTAGAATAAACTACCAAATGATACAAATCTACTTATCAAACATTTAAGTATATGTCTGTCATACAACATATCATTTAGCAGTTACCTTCATATAACTATATTTTATTTTGGGTTTCACTAGTGTTAACTTTTCCTGTTGTCTTCATTTGCATACACATTGTGTATTTTATTCACACAACTGTCTTCTGTGAATGTCGTAAAAATTATAATTCTTGTGTTTACAAAATCTTAAATAGACGATATTACCTGTCAAAATGTTACATGTTTATTACTATTTGTTACTACCTGGTTGGTTTCGGTGTGTTATTTTTCATCTGTAGCTTGATAGATACCCTAAACGTCACTGAAATATCTTTTACCGTGATACTTGCTAGTTTCCTCAGCTAATAAAAGGTATTTTTAAATGACTCGCGATTAATAGGACTATTGTTGATATAATATTATCTAAATACAGTCATATAAATAGGTCTGATTATTAACAGAAGATGACATTGTGTGGAGATAGTGTCTTGTGTGTTGGTCGAGTTCATATTGTGTATATTCTGTGTCCTTCATAAGAAATGGAATATTAAAAAGGACACAAAGATTGATATTTAGGCATCTGTAGTTGGGATGACAATAAAGTCATGTACATGTTTTACAGGTCACTCACAACATTCTGCCTACAAGTCGATTCCAATATCTTTTTCGATTAATGGATACACTTACCCAACAGTGATTATAATTTGTATGATGTTTGCTAGTCTAAAAATTCTCTAATACATTTCAGAATTTGATTGTATGGAGGATTTCACCATGAGCTGGCATCAGTTAGAGAACCACTGGAAAACCTGGGAGTACTGGACAGCTGTTTCGTCCTAGTTTGGGACTCTTCAGCCGTATGCACCCACCGGGGTTCGAACCCAGGGCCTTCTGGTTACAAGGCGAGCTTGTAGACCATTGAGCCACTGGGACCCGATCCAATGGTTCCTGAATTCTAGCTTCTACCAGTTCACGATATAGCGCGACCACTTCGCAATGTCTTCTTCGATGAGTTACTGCCCCATCTTCGACCTGCTGTACCCTACTGGTCACGGCTTCCCACTAGAACCCCAGGTAACTGCCTAAATGGGGCCAGTTGTTAGTGATGTCAGCTCATGATGAAATCCTCCATACAATCAAACAAAATCTCTATAAAACCATTACTTGAAAATTTCAGAATTTCTCACATCTCTAATGAAGAATAACTTCACCAGTTCATGTACTAGTAACTTTATATGGAGTATGAATAATTTTAAGAACACAAATACTAACAGAGAAGTTAAATACTAATCATTTAAAATTTTCGCCTTATAATACTTCATCACCTGTGGCTATAAATTGAGATCAAACTTTATTTCCAAATTCTCAGTTGAAATTTCTATAAATACAGCTTCAGGTTAACTAAGGATGTTACATTTCATCCATACATTGGTGTTTCTAAATTACCTTTCAAACTGCCGATTCATCCACTAAGATAGAAACATTGGGAGAAATCATAATGAGGAACCTCGTTTCCGATACAAATTTTTGATAATACCCTTATCTTATATAATGAAGAACTTTATTTAGTTCATTGTATTTTCTTCGGGTCAGAAATGGGCAACCATCGTGGTTTATTTGATGAATGGATAAAATAATTTCAGATATCAGGGGATGAAAAAACCTTGAAGGGAGTTGGCTACTCAAAAAAACTATTATACCAATATCTCAATGAGAACCAAGTTATTTTATTAGATAATCTGCTTACCGATCTCATCCTTTATACTAAAACTATGTTACATCATGTTTTATGGAAGTCAGCCACACCTTGGGGTATGCTACTTCTAAGGTTTGGTCACATCCAATGCCGTTAGTTGCTAGTCATTCTTCATGCATAGTTTCCTATCTGCCTACTCAGAAATTTGTGAGAAATTTCGGAGGGTGAATTTAATGAAAAGTCAATGAGGAAAGACATTACATCACGAAGGAAACCGGAGTATTAAATACTATGGCTGATACAATTCTCTCTTGCAAATTATTTCTGTTCACATTTATATGCCATCATCCCTTTGTAGCTCACACGGATGCTTTCGGTCCAATAATGGAGGTTTCATTGTCCGTGTGGATATCTTTAGCGCTTGGGGAAGAGAACACGATGAATAGCTAGCATTCGAAAATGATGTTAGGTAGTTGGATGAAATCGACATGAAGCCCTGAACCAAGGTCTTGTGCTTCTTGTCATTCATCAACAAGGTAAATTTGCTACCTGAAAAGAACTGGTGTCCCCAGAGGGGTCAGAGCCCGCGTTACCCACTGCTGCAGTCAGAGTTGTTAGCAGTGTGCTGTTCAGGCTCACGCCTCCTGTGGAATTGTAATGGATACAATGCGCTTACACCCTAGTGACCACTCTGTGTATAGCTATCCTTAATTCTAATGTGCCTGGGTATTTCATTTTCTCAAGCAGATAATAATGGGTAAAACGTTGTGAGAAAATGACAACTAGGGTTGAAATGTCACTACTTTCTCCATTATTTTCACTTGATTCCCCTCCCCCCTTTTTTTCCAACCTTCGTCATTTCGTCTCTTCTAAACATTTTTGACAAATACAAATGATTTCGAACACTTTAACGGACATCCGCAAGTAATATGGTAACACCGGTTAAAATAAAATAATTGGGACAGTTGTTTATTTAAATTAATTATTAGAATATAAAGTTTGTTTCCATTAACAGTTTTCTTGAAATTCTCAGTATTTATTTTCAATGGATATGTAAGGAAATCTTCAAAGTCATTTACAAATGCGAAAGGCGTTTCACATTGGCTTAAATTTATTATTAACTAGTACAGAAAAGAAAACAATGAGTATTAGATGCTATGACTACCAGTAATTATCCGTTCAAAGGAACTCATATGATTTCTGAAAGAAGGAATAAGCCGAGGTAATTGGTGGTTTTACTTACTAAGCTTCATTAAACTCAATGCATACATTGATAGTAAGTAAAAGCTGTTTGTCATGAGGAATAACAAGTGACGAAGACAAATCTAGGAATAGTATACTTACGTAAGTATTTATACTGCGAGCTACAAGTATTTTACATGAGTGCTTTTCATGTAATGCATCTTCATCAAATTGTAAATTCGACAATTTGACATAATTACTGCACAACTGGGAGCAACCTCTTTGTATCTGTACAAAAATTTACTTTGGAAAATAAAGCAAGTAACGTTAATTTACTCAGTGTCTGTGGATCGAAAGTGGGACGCTTGTCAGCCGCTACATAGGTCCGGGGTTCAATCCCCGGTCGCTCCTGTACCTCTTTGAGCCAGCTATAAGGCTAGTAAAGAAGGAAGGTTGGGAATGAGGCTAGCAACCTCATCCCTTAAAATAAAACCACTGCTATTGGAACTTCATAGCTCCAGCTTGAAGCCCTATGTCCCATTCGCAACGTAAAGGACTAAAATAAATAATGAATACCATTTAGTTACCATATTTGATAACCTTTTTACTGGAATTTACAGGCGGAAAAATAGAAACAGGAATAAAATTAAAAATCCTTAGCAGTTTCTCATGTTCCCATTTGTTAATTATTGGAAACAAGTTTAATGCAAACAGAACGGGCCCCATCCAGTCTGCCAGATGCACACAGTATCATGGTCTGCAGTGCACCATCTAAATATATATTTACTCGAGGATTTAAGTGAGAAAGTCGAAGGGATCCAAATATAAGGGTGTCATTATAAGTTTATGTTATGAACCCCGGTCTGCTGAAGACTATTATAACGTTAACCGGTGGATAAGACGCAAACATTGCGTTACTGAAGTTATGTCTCCGTTCGCTTACGTTAGTCATCATTGCTGTTTCACTTGTCACAGGTTTAATAAGTCCTCAAACTTCCCCATCAAAATACACCACTCCTACATTTCTCTCTGTAGCTAGTTTAGCAACAGCATTAATATAATTGGCAGATCGTCTAATTTTACTTCTATATGAAATTATAGTCTACCATAGTGATCAAATTCTATTCATGTATCAAAATGAAATTAACTTCTTTATAAAACTAAGAATATAAGTTATAAGGGGTCTTATGGAAATATCTACATTCAGATTCTCTGAAACAGAGTTTGTCCTAGGTCATAAATCTCCATTTCGGAAAATTATGCCGTCTATCTTATCTGCAACTATGTATTTGCCAAACATGTTAGTCACTGACAATGCTTTTCAATGTCACCTAACCCTATAGATTGAAAATCAAAAAAGTGAATGGAGAATTTGGCAGAAGACTTTCAATGGCAGGCAAACTGGTGTAAAATTTCGCTACACTTGCCTACTATCTAAACCCAGTCCGAGTAAGATGTAGACACTGACCCCAAAGTTTACTCAAGGTTGCATAGACTGTTTGAAATCTACGGTGAGAACGTTATCTAAATAATTAGTTAGCCACGGTGAATCTGTAGAAGCTTCCAGACTGTACGAATATGAACCCAGAAGTTTCTGTGAGCAGTGAGGCTGGTAGGTTATACTAAGGTAAGAAACCACCAGCCAGAAAAGCATTCTCTCTGCATCACCTCTGCCTATGCATTGACTGGTTACAGAATGGACGCAACCTGTCAAATGATCGGACTTCTTTAGCGTGAGTTCCCAGCACTTATAGTAGTGCTGTCTGGAGACATGCGCACAGAGGTCGAGCGTCTGGGCTCAGATGACAATCTTATATGTAGTTAGCTGGGAAATATATATTTGCTTGCTGTATGATGGTAATCGTCTCCTACAGCTCTGCGCAGACCGCAGATTACTTCTCACCAGCATTAGCTTGAGATACAGACATTGCCATAGTGCTACCTGGCATGCTTCCTCTGCCAATCTACCCTGGACTTAAACGGATCACCTAGAAAT